CATGGGCAAATCGTTCAGTGGGCATGCGCAAACAAGGATTATTTTTCTTTTTCTTCCTCTCAGAAGAAATCACAAAAGCACGGCGGAGGTGCGAATGAAATGGAGTTCTTTCTGTAAAATTGACAGACCCTAGTATCCACGTTTGCTCAGAAATGTCTTTGTCAAAATATGGCGTCGCCTTTTCTTCTTAGAGCAGCATGTTTCACCCTAATGAGCTTCATATTCCTCTTCTACTGTTTGGCTTAAGGTTAGACGAGTCTGAGTAGTGCCATCTCACTGCGGAGCTGATACCAACGTAGTTTTTTGACGTAGAGTGTGAGCAGGTAGATCGCATCAGAGCGTCGGGCCACACAGTATGAGAACATACAATGTGAGCTGTAAACGCGCATTGTACGACGAAACGGCAGGGTTTTCGTAGTACAGTGTGAGCTGTAGCAACGATTGAAAAAAATCGCACAGTGTATGCCAGGCTTTACAGGAGAACAGATGACCTCGCCTATTCAGCCAGGCCAACAATTCCCTTTAACGACCCGCCTTCCAGAGACATAGACAGGTATAGGGTATTGCAGGCTAACAAAAGAAGCCAAAGACCCCCATTCCAAAGGGATGGACCCGTTCGTCTGTTTCAATTTGCATGTTTTCTAAGCCAAAACAAGGCTTTGTTGGGCTACTTTATAAAGCCTCAAACTTAACTTTATTTCTGACATTTTGAATTGAAAAAGTTTCCTGGATTGGAAGAGAAATGTCTTCAAAATTGGAAACAAAGCCCAGTGGATTGTTTTTAACCTTTTTGGAAAGATGAAGGGCAGTTACTGAAAAAGAAAAATCTGCTGGGTATTAAAAAGGCAATCTGAGTAGATGTATGTAAATCCAATGTTTGGTAAGATGGGAGTAATGATGGAAACATGTTGAGGGTTCAGGTCTTTATTATCCAATTATGGAGCACACTGCAGTAGGCTAACAGTTATCCGGCAGCTAATAGTTTAGAAATTAGTTTTCCTCAAAGTTTGTTTCCTCTGCCTTTGTTGTTTGGAACTGATTTTCATGTACGATAAACGTTGTTCTGCTTGCTGGACTTGATATTTAAGGCACACATTTATTTCCCCTACAGTCATTTTACTCTCGATTGTTTTAAGTGTGAAACCAGTTATTGCTTCAGAGGTAGTGCTGACTTTTTTTTTTGTGACTAAAGTGTGATAATCTTAAGTGCTGCTATTTTAAACATATTTTGGTGTAGAGATTAGAGCCAAAGGTAAAGTGATGTTCTGGTAAAGATGTTTCCACCTCATGCAGACTACAGCTATCACTTTAATTATAACACACCTTCACAGATGATTCAAAAAAAGTTGAAAAAACAATCCACTGGACTTCATTTCCAGTCGGGCTCGGAGGAACAATTTTCGGCCCTGACATTTTTCCATCTACACCGGCCCACTTATGGACCACAGTGGATGCCCAGCTCTAATCAGCTATCAGATTTACTGAAGTGGACCTTGAGGGGTAACTTTGGGCAGCTCTGATTTATGTGTTTATCTCTACATTAGGGATGGAACGGTTTTTGAAAACCGTCCGAACCGTTCGGTTCGACTGTCTCGGTTCGGTTCGCGTGTGTTTCGTTCGGTTCATGCGCTTCTCATAGGCGACGCGTTCACACTCCAGAGCAGAAGGTGGCGATACTGCGACCAAAGCCAACCACCAGTAGTAAACAAGAAGAAGAAGCGAAGCCGCGTAGCCTGGTGTAGCAGAAAAAAATCAGTTGTTGTGGAGAATTGCGTGGGTATGGCGAGCGGGAAAGAACAGTGGTCTGGTTGCCTTGATCAGCGATTGGATGCAACCAGTTCAAATGCATTGGCTGTTGGAAAAGAAGGAAGGACATCATTATCATATTAGGAAAACGCGCTTTTTAACACGCGTCTTGCGGTACTATCATGACGCACGTAAAAGGCGGCGCTTGTTGGTAAAAGACGGCGTAAAAAGCGGCAAAATCTCTTGCGGGTTAATTTCAATCTTAACGCGATAAGTCAATGGGAAAAAGTCCTTCTTGGCTTGCCATAGACAGGAGTTGGAAGACGCGCCAGCAGCACTTTATAGGTCTGCTGTATGGGACCACTTTGCATTTAGAGTGACCTACCATGACGGCGGAAAGAAACTTGTGGATAAAAGTGCAACAGTGTGCAAGCATTGTGCAACACGTTTTGTTTATGCTAACAGCAACATGACCAACATGTCATGCTAACCCCGAAATCACAGTGCTCCACCCCGCTGCGCTCCAGACCGCCTGGACAAAGCAAAGCATACAGCCTCCACTGTGGCTCCCGTCCGAGATGATTAAATCAAAGCAGCAAAACATGCGGAAATGATCCATGGTTTCCGCGAATCATTAAAAATAATTACAATTCATTAATTTTTTTTGTATTTTTTCATTAATTTCATTTTTTTTAAATGTCATTAATTTTTTTTTATAATTTTTCATTATTTTTTTTATTTTTCGGTGTAACAATAAACATATACCGAACCGAACCGAAAACCGTGACCACGAAACCGTGAACCGAACTTAACCGTAGATTTTGTGAACCGTTCCACCCCTACTCTACATGAATTTTGTGAGACAACAATAAGGATGAGACTTACTATGAAATACATTTATCAAAATTAATGTAGTTGGAGCATTTTTTTTTCATCCATGAAGGCTAAATCAGGACTAAGAAAGGTGGAAAGTGAGTCGAGCGTTCCTGTACTGCCAACCAGTAAAAGATGTAGGAGTGGGAAGACTTGCTTTAATGCCATATTTTTTTTTATGCCACTAGCTTCAGTGATCAGCTATGGATCTGAGTGAGCCATGAGCGTAATCTGCAGCATTTAAATCTCACAGACATTCGCTCAATAAATACGACTCTGGAGAAACCTGTCTCAGCAGCTCGTTGCTCTTTCATTCTCTGCACTCACAACTAAATAAACTATTATGTGGCTGAACAACAGCAGCCGAACGTGAAAAATGCTTTAATTTTCAGTATTTTATTTCTTCCACCTTTCTATATTATAGCCAGAATATACATTTAATTTTCTTACTGTTTATTTTTGGATAAAGACCCAGATGAGACCTTACCCAAATATTTCTCCGCAACTATCTGTATCCGATTAGGATGTAAATGTTTCCTTGTATTGTCCTACAAATGTCTTTTCATTTCCTTGAATATCCCAAGATTTTTAATTAAATTTTTTTTAAATTAACTTCAGGATTATAATGTAATATTATAATCCTGAGTAATATTGTATTTTAAGAGTGTTAAGGAGGTTCTGTGTAATCTATCTCAGCGACTGGTACCGGTCCGTCGGTCATCTGGTACCGGGCCGCACAGAAAAAAGTATATATGTATAAATATATAATTTATCGACGATCAGAGTCTGAGTGATGTTTTATTTTGAAAAATATAAAAAATTGCGGTATTCTCTCCTAATTACATCAGTCGGTGCATCTGTGCCTCTTGACACAGGTTAATTCAGTTCAAGACTCATCCTATCTATAATGTCCTATCTTTGAGAAGCGGGATTTTCTGCGGTTACAGCGACCAAAACAAAGCTACGGAGCAGACTGGACATCAGGAGCACACTTCGTGTGTCATTGTCTCCGATTACGCCTAGTTTGGACCGGTTTGTTGTTTTATTTTTATGCTGTTTGTATTTGATTTAATACCAGTCGTATCATTTTACTCGATCTTATTTACCCCCCCGGTCGGTCCATGAAAATATTGTCTGACATATAGCGGTCCGTGGTGCAAAAAAGGTTGGGGACCGCTGATCTATCTGATCCGGCTGGTATGAGGTGATTAAAAAAATATTTTATGATGGAAACTGTTAAATTGTAGGTTTATTTTTTGTTAATCAAGAGATAAAACAGCTGCTAATCTTTTCCATGTCTGAATATAGCCAAAAAAAGCTATCCCTGGTAAGTTTAACTGCATTATTGTCATTAAAGGTTTTCCATCTTCTAAGGAGTATGCACAAATAGTCGCTATGCATTACTTGTTAAATATTTTTAAAAAATTCAGAAAAAAAGAAATTATAAAAATTATACTGAAGGTAAAGAATGTCTGCACATTTTCTATTTTCAATTAATTATCAAATATTTGTCAGCCCTGGATATTCTTATCTATACTTTGTTTTTTTTTGTTTTTTTATCAAAACGGAAAAGAAAATTCCTCAAAATCTAAAATACAAAGTGAAATTTAGCCATTATACATCTTATATATTAGCATATATATGGAAAAGTCTTTGAAAAAAAAAACACTCCATTCAGGTTTGATTAAAAAAACAAAAACTATAAAGTATGGTAGAAGATGTGTGATGCTGTGGGCATTCAAAAAGCCTAGGAAGATTTATTAATGTGTGGAGCCATAAACCCTTTGAGAAATCAAGGTGTTTTTGTTCTACTCCTATCTGGTATCTTCCTCTATTCAAATGTGAATGTTGGGTGTTTCATCAGGATAAAGATGTAAATATATGAGCTCAACAATGAAGTGACGGTAAGAAAATGGTTCATCCAACGAAAAATCAACCTTTGTCCGTGGCATCGCTGTCCCCGGACCTAAAAACCCTTAAGAAGACATACAGGTTGAGCTTAAGAACAGAGGAGATAAGAAAGGACCGAAGAACATTTAGAAAAAGCTCAAGATCCCTCAGAATAAAAAAGGTTCAGGGGGGGAGAGCATAGTGCTGCAGTGATTAATTAAAGTATTTTACCTGTGAAGCCAACAAAATAAGTAAATAAATCAGAAGATAAAACTGTCCTAAAGGCCATCATAAATCTTTTTTTTAAGGACTGGTTTACCGCCACAATGTAATTCATGGTCAAACTCACCGTACAAAAGCAGAATCATGGCCTCTGGAGAGAAACCAGCAAACCTTTCAGGTGTTTTTATGTGATCCAACACACCTTTGACACTCCAATACACAGCACAGCGTCCACACACACACACGCGCACACACACTAACACACACACCTGTACGCTTGCTGATGACCTCCACCAGAGTGGATGGGAAGTACCCCACTCGATCGTTTCCTGTTCGGTTGTCGTGGATACAGCCTTTCCAGCGTCCGTCAGGATGTTGCTCCAAAACCTAAGAGGAAACATTTAGAGGAAGGACTGTTTGGTTTAGCCAAATTAAATAAGTTGAAGGGAATAATCTGATGGAAGACGTGAAAACTTCCCCCCCCCCCCCCCCCCCCCCAGCACTCTGAGTGGTTTACCATCTCTGGAGCCTAATTGTTCCCTCAGACCCTGAGGAAAGACTCCCCAAGAACAGCTTGGCTTCGTTAAAACAGTAATCAGTTCCACGAAGGCTGAATTAATTCTCATCCATATTTATGAAGGATGGTGACGAGTGAGAGCATGTTCCTGTAAAAACATGCTGGTAGTAAACAGGAGGATACTGTAGATGCTAATGCTCCTGTATTCATTAGGAGGATTATGGAGTTTTACAACCAAGGCAGCTTTCAGGTTCATGTAGAGCAAAGACACCAGCTTTAACGTCACTATTAAAGCTCTGAGCTGGGACCTAAAATATCCAAACATCCACTGGTCAAAGATTTATGTTAATTACCAGCATGGCTTTCAAATTCACCTAGGAAAATTGCTGAGTGTTTTTGACTTAAAGAATCCATCACTGGTAATAAAAACAGAATTTAAATAAGAAATATTGATTTGCTTTGTAAATGCAATACACAGGGATTAAAGCAAAACAAAAATCCTGAGCCTGAACTTTTTTTAACACAGTTCAGGCATATATATATATATATATATATATATATATATATATATATATATATATATATATATATATATATATATATATATATATATATATATATATATATATATATATATATTTAGATTTAGAATTATATATATATATAATTATATAGTTTTTTTTCTTCCCTTGTTTTTGTTCTCTTAAATTATAAATAAACTATATATATATATATATATATATATGATATAGTTTATATATAATTTAAAAGAACAAAAACAAGGAAAGAAGTAATTAAAACGTTTTTGGGTTAAAAAAAGAATTCTTATTTAACTTTTAGATGATAAATAAAAATAGAGAAGTTTATCATGATTACATTTAATGATACAATAAATACCTTCCCCTGCTTTAGAAGCTCAGAAGATAATTTTTTTTACAAAACTCAATTAGGAAGTTACTCTTTTTTTTTTTTTTCCAGCGTTTTTATTGTCATTACACTGTCACAAGTATAGTGCAACGAAATTCACTCTGCATTTAACCCATCCCCTTGGGGAGCTGTGAGCTGCCATTTTGCAGCGCCCGGGGAGCAGTGTAGGGGTTAAGGGTCTTTGATCAGGGACCCAGAGTGCCAGTCTGTAGGAGGGGGGTTTAAACTCAAAACCTCAGGATTCCAAGCTCTATGCAGGGGTCTTCAACCTTTTCCAGGCCAAGGACGCCAAACTGATGGCGAGATGGAGCGGGGACCCCCCTAATTATATATATTGTATGAAATTGTGTTATATCAAACTGGTCCTATAGTCACTCTATTACAGATGAAGTAATGTAAAGAAAGTAATTTGGGATTTTTAAAGTATTTCTGATTCAGATTCCACGTTGATGGGACAGGTGTTGTGAATGAAACGATGCCCAGCTTGAAAGAGCTCCTGTGTGTCATTGAATGTGTGCATTGATGACTGAAAGACATCTTCTGCCTCCATTTATCTGTTTACTACAATGTGTTGAATTCATGTTAATGTGGATTTAAATACATTTCAATTAGTGGGGAAAAAAATTATGGAGGATCTAATCAACCAAAGCTTTTTCAAACCCCTTGCAGTACCTCCGTGGACCCCTAGGGGTCGCAGACCCCCCTGTTGAAGACCTCCGCTCTATACCTTAACCACTAGGCTGCCACTCCCCCTTATTCAGATATTAATCCTAATTATTTACACTAACATTCTCAGAGTGTTTGTGGAATCTGCCTGGTTGATCGTCCTGCTAATTTTAGTGAGTATTACCGTGATGACGTCTCCAGCTTTGATGTTGAGGCTGGTCAGGTCATAGTTGTTGCAGTAATCCTTCAGAGCTCGAACCTGCAGGGCTGCTGATGCATCTGGGAGGGGAAAAAACAAGGAAATAGTGAGGATCCTCCGTACCTCATGTCCCCCCATCCATCCTGGTGTACAAAGCATCCATCCATTCATCCACACATCCATAAACCTCACCCCTCAGCAGCTGCTTTATTTCCCTGCTGGCCTGTGTTGCTGTGAACTGGTAGACGATGTCCAGCGCTGTCTGGCTGTACGTGTTTCTAACAGCTGCATTGATGCCGCTCTGCAGAACAGAGTAAAAGATGTATGTATTTATTGTCTAAGGTAGAGTTACAGTATGTACGACCAGACATAAACTTTATTTTTAGATGCTGCACTTATTAAAAATTCTGAATTAAAAATTCTGTCATATTCTTCATTGAGGTGATTTATTTTTTTTTTTGTTTTTTTTTGTTTTTTATCATATTTGTAAATTTAGACGGATCTTGTGAAGAGAAAATGATAAATTGTACCAAAAACAATGTGAATAATTATTTAACAAAAATCTTTAAAACTTGATATTTAATTTGTCAGAATGTCTAATAAAGTCTCTAGTTTAAAGAAATAGTTTTTTTTTTGACAATTATTTCATGGTTCAGACCTGGGTTAAGATTAGGGGTGAGTATTGACATCATGCCTGCTGCTAGCATGTGCTTATGCTAACAAAAAAATTTGCTTCTTCTTCTTTAATTTCGAATTTAGACTTCAACCCATGGCGGTTAGGAAAAATCCACAGAAATTATCAACCTTCATATATGCCACATGGTTCAAAGTGTGGGAAGAAAGTAGTGGCTTATAGTCCGGAAAATACGGTATGTTTTGAGTTTTATAACAGGGAGCATCAGCCATTCGCTGTAATTTTTTTTTGTAGTTCTTTACTTGAAGGCTGTAGTCCCAGTTTGACCAGCAGTATTCATCTGCATCTCCTTTGCATAATCTATAGAGCTGAAGGCTGTCCAGATTCAACACAGCAGTCCAAAGCTCCTTTCCTACTCTGGATAGTGTTCTAACTATTGACCCCACAAAAGGTGAAAGATAGGAGCTAGGAACAGGAGGTCCATTAGGAGCTATAATGTCAGGTATTCAAAAGACGCCTGAGTCTTTTAAGTTAAAGTGAGGATGGGTGGAGCTAAATAAAATACAATGCTGGAACCTGTTAAAGGCCTTCACTTTGCAGCCTGAGCCTCAGTGGAATGGTTTGGATCTGACCTTTGACCCTGAATGTTTTAGCACACGTGAATCAAAACATTGCTTTCCTTCCTCAGTAGGGTTGCCAACTCCCTGAAAAGAAAAAAAATGGACACCTCATGTGCGTGCCAGCTGACCCGACTGCCTTTACCCCTCCTGGCGTGCTGATTTTTTTCTTGCTGCTCCTTTTTGTGTGAAATGACACCGTGCAGTGTGCTTTATATTATTTATTTTTTTCCCATTCCGCCCTATATTTCTGTATCCTTTTTTTTTGTTGAAGGAGCATTGCTATGCAAAGGTGCACCGCCCCCAAAAGCAGCATCAGCATTTAAAATATTCCGTTCATCCCCCATACTGCTCTGTTGTCTCCCGCTATCTTCTCCGTGAGTAACACTTGGCTCGACCAATGGGATGAGGGTATTCTGGATCGTTACAGATATGTTGTCAGCTCATTGGTCACACCGCAGGACAGTGCCCGGGAACAAGTTTACCGTAAGTTTTGTATCTAATGTGCCCTCGTTATTAATTTTCCATTAGCTTTTTACTGACTATTTTTTTACTCTGAAAGTAATACGGAACAAAGTGCGTTCCTTTTCCGCTAAACACGGGACAGATACACCCATTTCTAAATACGGAACAATTCAGTTTTTCAAGGGACGGTTGGTAACCCTACTCCTCAGCAGCCATCCTGTGCTGCAGGGGCCTGTTAAATTAGATGACCTGACAAGTCAACTGGCAGCACTGGGTTTATTTTAGGGATTATTGGTGTTCAGTGGTCTGAATATAAATCCACACACTCTATACTTTTTTGTTTGTTAAAAAGGAGCATGTTACATAATGAGCAATAAAGTAAAAGATGATAACGTGACTTGAAATGACCTCATGCTTAGAATCAAAACAAAGTCTTGTGTGATTTAAACTGGTAACAGTTTCTGTCTGAATGTAGGAGCGGCCAATCATCGTGACATCAACAGAAAACATCCAAATACTCCTCTGGCTCCTATTTTCCAGCTAGAACAGCTGAGCGCTGCGGACTGATATCCTATTGGGGTCTGTGGCGTCTAACACAGACTAAATGAACAAAGATGAATACAGTCCTAAAGGGCTGCAGGGTAAAGTCTCGCAGCCATTCGCAGCCAGCGTCCCTAAACGACAGGCTCAGTTTGTCATGCTGGAGGAGCCGCAGCCATTGGAGCATATTGCCCCTTCTGTTTTCCTTAAACCTCGGGGCCTTTGATGTCACCATCACAAGATGACTGCTGGCGTCTCTCCTGCTCTTTAGCACATTTTTTTCTTCTGACTCTGACTCATTTGTATCACATGAAGCTGAAAGGTTTTTAACACCCCTTTAGGGGCAAAGTGATTAAGACAATGGCCTCAAATCTCCATGGAAAAGCTTAAACCCTTTTTAGAGATTATGATGTTTTAATCACTAAAGTTTGTTCATTTTATTGCAATTTCATATTAAAGTCCAACAAAAGAGTGTGTCATTGTAAATATCTGAAAGTCATAGCTACTCTATAGGTCTGTAGCATATAGAAGGTGTTAAACCTCCAAGTAGGATTCTTTTAGAAAACGGTTTTCTAAAAGAAAACACACGTTGTGTGTAAAGCAGACAGGATTTTAACTCCTATGCCAGAAAATAAAAAATCGTGAAACTCAAATCCCAGGTATTTACCACTTTAAATATTTTCCTTTTTTCCATCCTTATTTTTTACTTTTTGCAAACTGGAATCATTAAAAGTCTTCAGATACACTCTCAAATAAAACTGACTTAGTATTTCATGGACCGTTTTGGGTGGCAGACAGAATATTCTGCTAAATACATTGTGTTTGATCACTTTTAACATGCTAATCTCAATGTGTTGGTCATTCATGAGCCAACGTGATAGGGCTGTGCTACAAAGATGTGTAGTGTAGTTCCAAATACCTCCAGCAGGAGTCTCACAACCTCAGTCTTTCCACAAAGGGCTGCTTCATGCAGGGCAGTGCCTGCTTTGGTCTGTCTGTTAATGTCAATGCCAGCCTGGATCAGCAGTCTGAGAGAAGGAGCAGAAGGAAACAAACACAGAAAAGAGAAGAGGAAGTTAGATCATAGTTTAAAGGAGAAGAGGAATGGAATTATGTCTAGAAAGTAATTTAGATATTTCACTCTGCTCACAACGTATATACTTTGTGGTCTATTAGTTGTTGCACCAAAGCAATATGTTACAAAAAGTATTGGTTTAAGTGGGACCTCAAATTTACAGAGGAAGACAAAGTGAGATGTCATAAAATATACAAAAAAACTGAAATTAGCACTCCTTTATTTCATAGGCACAAAAATGAAATTGTTTAGCTATTGACTTAGGCTGCTATAGGGTTAGGCTGCTGGATGACATAGGGACAATTTTCTACAAAAAAAAACTATAAGAAATCTAAATTAAAAACCATAGTATCTCTTTAACAAACAACAAAAATAAAAATAATTATCTAAACTATACTTATGCTGCTATAGGTTTACGCTGCTGAATTACATTTTAACATTTTAACACAGCCTTTAAGTGGCAGAAAATCAAAGAAAAAAAAAGAATAATTGTGGCACAATCTTTGATAGCTCTCACTTTGAGATAAATGTAACCATGAAACATTTCTACCACTGGATGTGGTACATGAAAGTGAATATTTTGAGAACAAACAGCGCTGTTGGATTTGGAGGTGTCATAGAAACTTATATCAACTGCAAAGCACGGTGGAGGACCTGTAATGCTGTAGGCCTGTTTCCTTTTAGATAACCTATAGGGACAAAAAACTCTTTAAAATATGAAGGAATCTTAAATTAAGTTATTAATCCAGAATAAATGTACCTAAATAAAAAGTTGAGAGTTTTTAGTGTAATAGAAAATACTTTTGAGTACAGTCGACCAATAAATGTAGTCGCCACTGTAAAGCACTACTGCACATCTTCAGCTGGACTCCTTTTGCAGCGTAGCTGCAGGAGATAATAAAGATTAAAATATGCATCCATCCAACCAAGCTTGTTCTCTTTCCCTATTTGCATTCTGGCTTTGAGTCAAAAGAAGAAGATCAATCCGACTTTTATCGCTGTTCATTACACACAATGTGACAGCACAGTCTGGACACAGCTGGCACCAAAACAGAAACCAAAAGGAAACTGTCAGCCTGGCTTTGTCTCGTTAATCTCTCTGACACATTTAAGGAAAAAAAAAAAAACTATTAGACACTGCAGCTATAAAAAAAACATCTGCTCTATCAACCTGTTCAAGTGACCCGTCTAAAGTCACATGCTTTAAATTTCCAGGGGTAAATAAATATCCTGATGACTGACATCCAGAGTTATATAAGTTAGACACAAATATAATTGTAGTTCTGAAACTTTAAGCATTAAGCATTTTAGCAAAGTGCAATGAAAACCATAATAGATTTTAGCCTGAAAAACATGAACATTGCAATCATAGTAGAAATTCTGCACCGCTTATGATGCAGCTTTAATATGAGCATAATGTTTTAATTGTACAAAAAACTAGATTAGAAGAGAAAGAGTGGGAAAAAAATGACAGGGTTCCCATAGATTGGTTAACATCAAATGTAAGTATTTTTCAGGAAAACCTGATTAAAAGCATAAGCTATTACTGGGAGTTTTAAATTAGCTAAAATATCTCGCAAATAATATATGTGACCCTCTTTAACTAAGAAGCAAACCAAAAACTATTGTTTGGAAGCGTTTTCCTATGAAGAAGACTGACAAATTCTCACTATGCTACATGAACACAGACTGGTTGGATTTTATTCAGGGGTTTTAAAATACAGGAGACCTAATTACGGAAGAGGATTAAAAAATATAAAAAGTTAACTGATTTTTAAATATTATTTCAGTTTAATGTAGGAAACAAGTCAGAATTTTGGATCTCAATGTACAGGTGCTGGTCATAAAATTAGAATATCATGAAAAAGTAGATTGATTTCAGTAATTCCATTTAAAAAGTGAAACTTGTATATTATATTCATACATTACATACAAACTCATATATTTCAGATGTTTATTTTGTTTAATTTTGATGATTACAAATGACAACAAATGAAAATCTCAAATTCATCATATCAGAAAATTAGAATATTGTGAAAAGGTTCAAAATTGATGGCCCCTGGTGCCACACTCTAATCAGCTAATTAACTCAAACCACCTGCAAAAGCCTTTAAATGGTCTTTCAGTCTAGTTCTATAGGCTACACAATCATGGGGAAGACTGCTGACTTGACAGTTGTCCAAAAGACGACCATCGACACCTTGCACAAGGAGGGCAAGACACAAAAGGTCATCGCTAAAGAGGCTGGCTGTTCACAGAGCTCAGTGTCCAAGCACATTAATAGAGAGGCGAAGGGAAGGAAAAGATGTGGTCGAAAAAAGTGTACAAGCAAGAGAGATAACCGCACCCTGGAGAGGATTGTGAAACAAAACCCATTCAAAAATGTGGGGGAGATTCACAAAGAGTGGACTGCAGCTGGAGTGAGTGCTTCAAGAACCACCACACACAGACGTATGAAAGACATGGGTTTCTGCTGTCGCATTCCTTGTGTCAAGCCACTCTTGAACCACAGACAGCGTCAGAAGCGTCTTGCCTGGGCTAAAGAGAAACAGGACTGGACTGCTGGTGAGTGGTCCAAAGTCATGTTCTCTGATGAAAGTAAATTTTGCATTTCCTTTGGAAATCAAGGTCCCAGAGTCTGGAGGAAAAGAAGAGAGGCACTTCATCCACGTTGCTTGAAGTCCAGTGTAAAGTTTCCAGTCAGTGATGGTTTGGGGTGCCATGTCATCTGCTGGTGTTGGTCCATTGTGTTTTCTGAGGTCCAGGGTCAACGCAGCCACATACCAGGAAGTTTTAGAGCACTTCATGCTTCCTGCAGCTGACCAACTTTTTGGAGATGCAGATTTCATTTTCCAACAGGACTTGGCACCTGCACACAGTGCCAAAGCTACCAGTACCTGGTTGAAGGACCATGGTATCCCTGTTCTTAATTGGCCAGCAAACTCTCCTGACCTTAACCCCATAGAAAATCTATGGGGTATTGTGAAGAAGAAGATGCAATACACCAGACCCAACAATTCAGAAGAGCTAAAAGCCACTATTAGAGCAACCTGGGCTATCATAACACCTGAGCAGTGCCACAGACTGATCGACTCCATGCCACGCCGCATTGCTGCAGTAATACAGGCCAAAGGAGGCCCAACTAAATACTGAGTGCTGTACATGCTCATACTTTTCATGTTCATACTTTTCAGTTGGCCAACATTTCTATAAATCCTTTGTTTTTATTGGTCTTCAGTAATATTCTAATTTTCTGATATGATGAATTTGAGATTTTCATTTGTTGTCATTTGTAATCATCAAAATTAAACAAAATAAACATCTGAAATATATGAGTTTGTATGTAATGTATGAATATAATATACAAGTTTCACTTTTTAAATGGAATTACTGAAATCAATCTACTTTTTCATGATATTCTAATTTTATGACCAGCACCTGTATACACGGCAAATTCCTTCATCTTTTCCATCGTCAGGCTGCAATTCCTCAATTTCCAGCCACTTTTGTTGAAATTAGCATTTTCCCCATTCTCTAGGCTTTTCTCCGCAGAGAGCTTCTTTTCTGAACATACAGCTTTACGATCAAACGGAAGCAGTTCCGCGCAAATATATTGCGATGTATTTGCAATATATATATTGTTTAATAAATTGTTTTTATAAACTTTTTTTCTAAATAAAGCATTTTAAATGCCAAAATCATTGCATTTAATGAATTTTAATGCCAAATCAGGCCTTCAATTAAAAAATAATCATTCAATGACTTTTAATCATTTTTAATGACCCGCGAAAATCCTGATTATACTGAAATAAAATTTAAAAATCAGTTTACTTTTTTTTTTTCAGCAGCCCTAATCCTCTTCCGTGCCTAATTCACAAAACAATTTTAAACTTTTTTCTTAGTAAAAATATTTTTCAAAACAACATAACCTTTACATTTTCCTTCACAGTAATACACTATTTTACATAGTAATTATTTAAAAAAAATAATTAAAAGACTATTTATGATCTACTAGATTCACGGTGCCTTGTTGAACTGTAAAGTGCCTTGAGATGACATGTGTTGTGAAATTGGCGCTATATAAATAAACTGAATTGAATTGAATTGTTAAGTTTTCAGATGACAATATTCATGATAAAATTGCAATGCCACAGCGGGTGAGCATCATTTATTAGTGTCACTTCTGAAGAGGTAGGATCTGTCAGCCATGACAGTCATTATTCTCCCTTCCTCATCTTCTTTCTCTCTCCTCCTTTGCTCTGCTCTATATCCCAGTTCAACTTGCATAGCTTCTGTTATCTTTCACTGCAGCTTATTAGGTTTGTGAGGTTTTATGCTGTGACTTTATCTAAAGCTGCATCCCATTCTGCTGAGATTTTTCAACCTGATCGACTTTCGCAAAATGAAAGGTGGGGATCTGGAAAGGATCCACTTGTTACAGCAGCTGTTTTCCAAGCGGACACTTGGACAGGTGTGTATGAGTATAGGGGAGAGGTGAAAAGCCACAGTTCCTGCATATCTGTCTGTGAACATATCAACCTTTTCACTTCACATATCAACCATTTCTTCCACTGTGGAGGGATTTTGTTCCTTTATTATTTCAAGCAAAGACCGTGTTTTGTAAAAGGAAATGATTTTTTAAAAAATCCAGAAAAGAAACTTCGAAAAATGTCTTAATCAATAAAAGTTTTTAAGAGTAACTTTGCGGTTATATCAAGTGTTTTTTTAGCATTTTATTTTTCATATTTGATTGTTTCAGATTTTGTTTTTTACAATTTAATATTTTGAAATTCCAATTTTTTTTATTGCTGTTTTTTGAACTACACTCTTTTTAAAAATGTTTTTTTACTGATCCCTTTCTGGTAACTTCAAGGCCCATACAAAAGCTCACCATTGAGCAATAAAAATGTTTTGCTAATAGAAATGACCAATAAAGATGCATTTTCAGTCCCAACTCCAGAGGACATCCCGCCCCCAGTGGTGAAGAGAATGTGATCTGTAACGTGCAGTTTTACACGATTCCTAAAACTAAATTTGGAAGCATTAATATCTGAAAACATAAATTATTTTTGCAAAAGTTTGCAAAAACAAAAAATAAAAAATGTTAAAAAAGTAAAAAAAAAAAAAAAAGCAAGAAAAAAGCAAAGTTACTCAAGTCTAATTTCTGGATTGCATTTTTTTTTCCATTTCAAAAATATGTTCTTTGCTCACAGCAAAATGGAACAAAATTGCCTAAATATTATTTATTTAATACATAAAGAAACACAATTACTTATTAAAAACAAAGTAGGAAACACAGAAAGTTAAAGGACGAGGAAAGCATTAAAGAAAAGGTCACTAAGACAGGAAGAAAGATGGAGGGAAGAATGACAAGGGAAGGAAGGAAGGAAGGAAGGAAGGAAGGAAGGAAGGAAGGAAGGAAGGAAGGAAGGAAGGAAGGAAGGAAGGAAGGAAGGAAGGAAGGAAGGAAGGAAGGAAGGAAGGAAGGAAGGAAGGAAGGAAGGAAGGAAGGAAGGAAGGAAGGAAGGAAACATTACTTTACATTACAATCTTACTACGAAACACCTACCCATCCAAAAACACTTCTTTTACTGTGATCCCTGACCTGCTGAATGCTTACCTGATGATATCAATGTGTCCATTTTTGGCTGCCAGGTGGAGCGGAGACGTCCCATTTGGATCTGCTGTGTCTCCCTTTTTAGGTTCCAACAAAGCGGCGCACATGTTACTAGAGAGCAACAACTGGACCACCTACACACACATGAAAGAGGTTTTCGGTGAGGAGAACAAGAGGCCAGCCCTAGTATTAGTTGAATTTTCAGAATCTTTCTAAAGACAGATTTAAATACGTGGGCTTACCCCGACCCGGCCGAATTCACAGGCCAGATCCAGAGGTGTTTTCCCTGCATTATCCACGATGCAAGGGTTGGACTGGTGCTGCAGCAGCATCTCAGACTGGAAACGGGGATAGCAAATAAAAACACACAGAAGTCTGTAAAGTGGGAGTGGTAAATGCTTTTCAATCTGTAAACTCTCCAAATAAAATCCAGAGTAAATGAACCTTTAGAAGTCGCCTGACTTCTAAAGTCCATGTGTAAGCCTCAGACGTTTCTCACAGGAGAACAAACAACTTTATGAACCAGGGAACCCAGCAGATAGCCCACCATTAAAGCTATAGCAGAGTTTAAAGTATGGATAGGTTGGAAAACAATGTACCAGGCTTTAGCCATAAGACAGAGAAACATTCAGTCTATCATCTGAAAATGGTAGTATGGGAGTACAGCATAACTGCAAAAAATTTAGAGATATCACTTAAGAAGTCATCTTAAACCTTAGAGAAAAGAGTAAACCCATGTTCACAAGTCCAAAAAGAAAATGGATGCACTGTTTTAAAGTGACACAAAGAAATCAGGATAACTAGCACTCCATGGTCCTTTTATTAGTTAAATTAGAGCCTTTGCACACCATTCAAGTCATAGTGGTCCAACTAAACCAACAGACATTATGTACACAATAGAGACTGACATTTTTTCGGGAATCCCACGGGTCACGGGATTCCCGTGGGATTTCCTTGGGATGGGAGTCAGTATTAGTAACGATCACGTGATTGGGACGGTACAGGATTAAACATTAACGGGAGCAGATGGGAGCGGGAGAAAACCAATAATAACTAAAAAAAAAACTAGGATCGATGCCAGAAAATAAAATAAAATAGAAAGGAAAAAAATCCAGTACTGGCGCCGCCATTTTGTAGTTTTTTTTCCTTGAAGCCTACACTATAATGCAAGTCAAAAAAACTACACGACCCAAAAACCAACAGTGCTTCCGCTCTTAGTTTTTCACCCGCGCTCAAAAACAACTATGGAGGGACCAACAGTTAGTGGCGAACTCGACTTCGAAAGGTTTGATTGTTTTGATTGTTTATTCACCTAAGATAAGCATGGTCTGTTTCCTTGTTTGTTACTTTTATTATGTATTTATAATTATTATTCCTTTTACTTTAACTGACCTTTACTACAGTTAGAAACAGGAACTTAACTGACCCTTCATAGAAATTCAGATTCAATGTATTGGCAGAAATCTTATTGAAGACAACAAGAATGGGAGTGGTGCAGGAGCGGGAGTCATTCTGAATGGGAGCAGGATGGGAGTGGGAGTAATTTCACCAGGAGTGGGATGGGACAGGATTTAGATTTCTACTCTGGCCCGGAATCGGGACGGGACACAATTTCTTTCTGTGGGAGTGGGACGGGACAGGAGTGAAAATCCACTCCCGTGTCAGTCTCTAGTACAGAATCATAAAACTTAAGCTTTGCTTACACCTGTCTGCTAGGAGTCCATCAGACTGTGCAGATGTTCACTGAAAAAACTGTATGTCTGAGCAGGTAGGTGGGTCATTCCAGTTAGCCAATCCACAAATCCTGCTTTTAGGGAAAAAAGCAAGAAGAAAACAATAGAGGCAAGAAATTCATAAGTCCAGTTCACACTTTTCCACAAGCCACTCAAAGGACTCAGCGAACTTTTGGAAAAAGGTCCATTCCACTTTGATAAAAAAAAAAGTATTTTATTATTACATGAAAATCACTGAGAGTCAAACAATGATCAAACATGGTGGACGCAGCATCTTGTTTTAAGGAGCCTTTTTTCTCCAGAGGGAATAGAGAATCTGCTCACGGTGGTTGGAAAGAGGGAGGCAACCTAATGTCCAGCAATTTTAAATGAAAACTAGTCAGAAGCAGCAAAACACTTGAGACTAGAACGTAGGTTCCTCTTCTAGCAGAACAACAATCCCTCAACAGTCAGAGCTAAATGGTTTAGATCAGAGCATGTCTACGTATTAGAATAGTTAACTCATAAAGAAAACTGGAATCCAACAGAGCAGGAAGATTGGTGCTCACCTTTGAATCTTACTGAGATTGAACAAAATTGTTAAAAACTGACAGAAATGTGTGTCATCCTGCTTTTTGTTGAGTCTTTTTGAGGGCCGGTTGGAGGTAGTGGTCTGTACTGTATGTGGCGCGACCTTAATGTCTAGTTACCCTCACACAATTATGTTCTGCAATGCATTGTTCTATTGTATTGTATCCCAGTAGAATATATTAAGAGTCAAAAGGTTCAAGCAGCAGCTACAGTTCTTGTCATGCAGCCTGCCGATTTTTGGGCTGACTGCTGCTTACCACTCTCTGCTCATCCACCCCGCTCCTCTCTGTCAGTCTTTTTTTTTTTTTATTCTCTTTATTGAAATATCACATCATCATAACAAAGATGGTTACAATATTACAACAAAAAAAAAACATTTTTTTTCCCTTTTTTTTTTCCTTTTGTACAATCTGTTTTTCTATTCAGTACAGCTCGCCCATCGAACATAGGAACAAACATAGAACCTGAGGTGTTTTTTCATTTTTGTCAAGAGTAAAGGGGGTTGTTTGAAATGAAATAGACAAAGTTTCAAAAATAATTGAAAATTGATTCAATTAGATAAAGGAAGGGCACCTTGAAGAAATGTACGTTTTCCATAAATTCCAATTGTCTTCAAATTTTGATTTCTGTAACCTGATGGAGAAAGTAATTCTTTCCATTATGAATATTTTGTAGATGATACCATACCAGTCCTCGATGGATGGGCTGCCTGGTTTTAGCCATTTCTTGGTGATTGCTTTCCTGGCTGCTACACTCAATATACTAAAATAAATATTTAGTCTTTGAGTTTGTCGATATTGAGTGTGATATTCCGAAAAAATGTTCCTCCCAGTTAAAATCAGTTTTTGATCCAAATATAACTCTTAGTTCTGTGCAAATTTTTTTGCCAGAATACAGATACAACTGGGCAACCCCAAAAAAGGTGAAAATGATTGGCTTCCTCTGAGCCACATTTCCTCCAGCAGCTGGATGAGCCTGACTGATGGGAACTCTGGGCGGGTGTAATAAAGTACCTACAGAGATTTTTCCAGGCAAAGGTTCTCCATGAGGTTGAGTTTGATATCTTCCACTGAAAATCACAATATTTAAGCCATGTTTGTTCAGGAATAGTCTTGTTTGTCTCTTTGTCCCACCTTTGTTTGATATACATTGTGTTTGTCAATTTTGTTTCCTGTAATCCATTATACAGCCTTGAAATGGTTTTGAGTCCAGAATTCTTTGCATACGCACAAACAAACACTTTCAATAATTCATTATCAAACACTTGCTGGACATTTGGGATTAAGTTATTTATATGGTGTCTTACTTGAAGGAATCTATAAAAATCCCTGTCCTTTAATCCAAACTGTCCTTTTAGAGATTGAAAGTCACTCAAAATGCCCTGTGCGAAAAAAGTACAGTATGACGTGAGACCTTGTTCAGCCCATTTCTTAAAAGTCACATCTTGCTTATTTGGGGTAAAGTCTGGATCATACGGGCATCACCTTAGGATCTTAATGTCCTCAAGCCAGCCTCTTTTAGAAACTACGTTTAACCATATTTTTAGAGATAAAGTGACCCATCTGTTACCCACCTCAATAACGTTTTTAATTAGATTTTTATCCCCCAGACAAGTTTGGATTGGAGTCGTGCCAAATAAATTCTGTTCTATTTCTTTCCACCTGGCATGGAAATCAGGACTGCACCAGCAAATCAAGAATCTCAGTTGGGCGGCAATATAATAATCTTTCAAACAAGGCAATGCGAGCCCCCCCTTACTTTTCTTTAGCTGAAGCGTTTGGTATTTGATTCTTGGCTTTTTTCCTTTCCATACATATCTTGAAATTAATCTGTCCCAGTCATTAAATTGCGTGTCAGGTATTTCAGTCGGAATTGTCTGGAACAGGTATAACAACCTCGGCAGGACATTCATTTTCACTGATTCAACCCGGGATTCAAGAGTTAAGAATGGAATTAGATCCCACCTCTTAATATCTCCCTTTATCTTCTTATTCAGTAAATTGAAATTTAAAGCATATAAATTTGTTAGATCTTTTGGAATTATTACTCCAAGATATTTAATTTGGTCTAGGTTCCAGTTCAGTTGAAAGTTTGATCTTATCATTTGGCTTGGCTGATAATTAAAACTCAAAATTTGAGTTTTTGTAATATTCACTTTATACCCTGAGACAGCACTAAATGAATCCAGTACTGACCACAGTTTTGGAATTGAACTTTCTGGGTTTGACATATAAATTAGAACGTCATCTGCAAATAAGGAAATTTTGTGTTCATGACCAAATAATTTAATACCAGTTATATCCGCATTCTGGATAATCCCCTGGCTTAATGCTTCTATAAACATTGCAAAAAGTACTGGACTAATGGGGCAACCTTGTCTAGTACCTCTTTCCAGGTTAAATGAATTTGAAATAGCTCCGTTTATTTTTATAGTTCCCATTGGGCTATTTTAAAGTGCCTGTATGGTTCTAATAAAAGTAGGATGGAATCCAAATTTTTGTAAAACTTTATAAAGAAACTCCCAATTAACAAGGTCAAAAGCCTTTTCTGCATCAAGGCTTAATAATACAGCCTGGATGTCATTTTTAATTATATGGTCAATTACATGTAATGTTCGGCGAATATTATCTTGAGTCTGCCTTTGCTTTATAAACCCAGTTTGATCTAAGCTAATTATGTCGGAGAGAGTATTTTCGAGTCTTTTTGCCAGAATATGGGTGAAAATCTTGTAGTCTTGGTTTAGTACACTTATTGGACGGTAACTACCACAATCAAGTTTATCCCTTCCCTCTTTTGGTATCAGGGAAATGACAGCCTCTTTCCATGAAGGTGGTGTCTCACCAGTCCTGAGAACATGATCGAAGGTTTTTTTCATTATTGGGGTTAACAGATCCTTCATTTCCTTGTACCACTCAGATGGAAAACCATCTGGGCCTGCTGCTTTATTAGATTTTAAATTTGAGATGGCTGCTTTAATTTCTTCATCTCTAATTTCTTTAATCAAAAGCTTGTTTTGATCAATGTTCACTTTAGGTAAGTTTATAAGGTCAAGAAAGGAATCCATTTTTGATTTTTCTATTTCTGGCTGTGTATATAGGTTTTTATAATAAATTACAAATGACTGTTGTATGGCTGATAATTTATGACATACAGAATTTGTTATTGGGTCTTTTATTTTGTATATTGTGCTGTCTGCCTGTTGTTTCTTTAATTTGTATGCCAATAACTTTGCTGATTTCCCACCAGTTTCATAATATCTTTGTTTTAGAAAGATGAGCTTTTTCTTAATATCGTTTGAGTAGATTTCATTAAGTTCATTCTTGGTCTTTTCCAATTCTATTTTTAATTCTTGAAGTGGTGTCTTTTTATGAATTTCTTCTAGATTTTTAAGTTTTGTTTGTAGACGGTTCAAGATTACCTTGTTTTGCTTCTTTATGTTAGAACAGTGTCCAATTATTTTACCCCTCAAGACAGCCTTCAATGCGTCCCAGAGAACTGGCGTAGACACCTCCCCATTGTCATTTTCTTCGAGATAATTTGTAATATCAGTTCTTATTTGATCCCTCATTTGATTTAGTATTCCTGTATTTAATCTCCAGTTTGTTTTCTTCTGTTCACAATTCAGTTGGATGCAAATGTAAACTGGGCTATGGTCTGATAGATCCATGGATCCAATACTACAACTAAGTACCTTGCTTAAGTCCTTTTGAAACATGAGAAAGTAATCAAGCCTAGAATATACAGAGTGTGTGTGTGAAAAAAAAGTGAAATCCCTTTTTGTTGGGTTCAATTCTCTCCACGCATCAATGAGACCCAACTCTGCCATCATTAGTTTGATGTTCCTTGTGATTTTTGTTTCACTTGAATAATAGGGTCTAGACGTATCTAAACATGAGTTAAATCTGATATTGAAATCACCCCCACAAACAAATAAACCCTGTGCCTCTGAGGATATTAATTCGAGTATGTATTTATAAAATTCCCATTTGGATCCTGGTGGGGCATAAACATTTAGAATGGTTATCAAGACCCCCTCCAGGTGACCTCGAATGAATATGAATCTCCCTTCTGTATCCACCTTTGTATATATACACTCAAAATTTTTATTTTTTGGATACTAGAATAGTTACAACTCTCCTTGGACCTTGATTGCAAGATGATGAATACTGGTTAAATCCGAATCTCTCCAGTTTACTGTGCTCTGATTGTGTCAAGTGTGTTTCCTGAAGAAGAGCTACTTCTATTTTCTCTCGTTTTAACTTGGCCAAGACTTTACCTCTTTTAATTGGACTACCTAAACCATTTATTTACATTATATGAAATAAATCTAAAACTTTGCATTTCTGAATTGAAAATATTGCTTTAAGCCCCCAGGTTAACCTGAATCATGAAATACACCTCTACTGCCACAAAGAACGATGGCAAGAACAAGAAAACACTGAACAATAATATCAGATTAAAACAACTGACCAGAAAACAAAAAACAGTCTTGACTTCCAAAAGTAAGGCCTGTAAATCGGCCTTGTGGCTCTGGTGGAGTGAGAGTGTAGAGGGAAAACTCCTTTCTCTTTGCAGTGAAAGAGGGCCCTCTTTAACCTCATAGCTGAAGCTCATGTCTGTCATCTCCCATTCCGTCCCGACATGAAGTTTACACTTTGTTGCCCATGTGTTGCATAGATAAAATTTAAAATTGTATAGTTTCGAACCACAATGTTTTGACAAAGCAGTTCTTATCACTGTTTTTAATTAGCATTAGCTAGATTTTTATTTTTTTTTAATATTGGGTAAATAAGAAATAGAAGTTTTAAAGCTTTAAAAGAAGAATCAATAACCCAATATAGTCAGTTCTGGAGAGAGAGGGGAAAAGCAGGCTTTGTTTCAATTTACTGTGTATCTGAGAGAGCAAAAAACACATACCACCTAACAACAAGCAACTTCAGATTAAAGAGCATCGTTCTGTCGTCTGAATGCCTGGAGCCGCTCCTTGTAGCCTCGCGCTGCGCTGGCTTTATCTGCATTACCTCGTCTTCCGCCGGTTTGCCAGGTTATCTGGCTTATTTGATCCAAGAGGGAGGTCGGCTTTTTCAAGAATGTCACCGGGAAGCCCCTCTCCGCTAAATCCGCCGTGGCCTCTTGCGCCGATCCGTAGGTCACCGTGCCGTTTGGGAAAAAAACTCTCATTCTAGCCGGATAGGGAGTCTGAAACTTCACGTTTCTTTCCTTCAGCGCTGCGTTTGCCTCAGCGTACTCTCTCCTTTTCCTCAGCAACTCCGGTGCGTAATCGTGGTCTAGCTGCACTCTTTTCCCTTGGAAGTCGAACCCCTTCTTTTGCCAAGCTCTTTTGATAATATCCTTCTTCGTTCTGTAGCTGGAGAACTTGACCACGAGTGATCTCGGGGGGGCTTCTTTAGGTGGTTTTGATGCAAGTGCTCTGTGTGCTCTTTCAATGTTGAGCACGGTGGTGGAAGGAAGCTTCATTAGCAAGTCTTCAACAAAAGCAGTAACCGATGTAGCGTCGTCCTCGGCTCCCTCCACAACCCCATATATCCTGATATTCTTGCACCGTATGCGCCCCTCCAGGTTTGTTAACTTGGCCGTGGTTTGTGTGTGTAGCTTCACCAGCTCCACCAAGACGTCCTCAGAGGACTGGATGCGCTCCTCCGCCGTATTAATCCGCTCTTCGACCTCGTCCATTCTTTTGTTAATTTTGTTAATATCCTCTTTTGTGTCGTGTAGTTGTTGGCTGGAGTCTTTTCTAAATTCGCGCAACTCTTTCAAAATGAAACTCAGGCTGCCATTCTGTTCCCCGTCGTCCTCCATGTTTTTGCTAGCTTGCAACTGTTGACCGTCGTGTTCTTTGCCTCGTTCTCTATTAAGCGGTGTAATCTTCTTCACCTTACTGGGCATTTTAATCACCCGCCCCATCTTTGCTTAGTTGGCCTTATCCCTATTTAAATTCGAGTTTTAATGGGCAGAAATAACCCCTTTGTGTCGGGAGCCTCGTGCACTAGGCTGCCATCACTGCCTCAGCTAAACCGGAAGTCCCTCTCTGTCAGTCTTAACCAGATTGTCTCCTCCTTGCCTGCACCAGGTTTTTTTATCCAGTGATTATATGCAACGCCTGCATTCCTGTTTTCCTATACTCACCCGGTTCTCTCTGAATCTTCATCATCTTCGTACTTTGCTCCTGTCCCAGACAGCCTCTGCCTACCACCAGTCTGTTCTAGCTATCTTTTAAGTTAGCTAATATCATTGAGCTGTTTGGAATTGAAATTCCAATGAAGCACAGAAGGTTTAAACTGTTTTTTTAAACTGTATGAATTTTAATTTTACTACAGAGGTGTTTTGTTGTTCATACATGCTTTGCAACTTAATGTTAGTAGGTTCCCAATGGAAAATTACATTAGGAGCATTAGTAGCACTTTGAAACGACACTGTCAAGGAACGCTATCGACAGCGGAAACATGCAAGAGGAGGAGAGTTTGGTGATGAATGTCGTGGATGAGTCTCCTCCGTCATATATTTTTTAAATAGACAAGGAAAGCGGGGACGAAGATGTTGTGGAAGAGGACGCCAGGGCGGCAGAAGCTTGGTTTGGTGTAGAAGGCTAACAGCCGTACATGTTTGAGCCCTTGCCTCACAACGCTGCCAGTTCTGTTAGCTCTACACCTGCTGAAGACACAGACGTCCATCCCTGTGAACACTGGGACGGAACTCAATGGGAAAGGAAATGATTCTTATTTCTTATTTCAACCGTTGCGTATATTAGCTGCGACATTTGAATCTAGATGCTATGACCAAAAAAATTTGATTGAGAGATAACCGTTGATATATGATTGGCCGAATTTAGGTGTTCAGGCTGACGTATAACTAAATGGCCTGCATTAGATAACGAGGGGAAAAAAACACTTTTTTTAAATAGAAAGTTTCTAAAATTTGGAACAACATCGTCTGATAGAGTGTACATTTATATACATGTTTAAGCCAGAATGATTTGATATTTAAATATGATTTCCCTACGACTTTAAATTTGTCAAAAACAGTGAATACTAAAACTTAGTTGGGTGAATTTCACTCTGTAAACCTCCTTGAGTACTAAAGGTTTGACTTAAAGTCTGATGAACACTGTTTTATAAATGACGAGAAATATTTGTGGTACAGCTGATGTAGTCGGGTGAGAGCTAACAACAACACATTGATCTAAACAACTTTCAACTGGGTTTATTCCACCTTCTTTGCTTTTTTTTACAAATCAAAGTTAGCTTTTTCTCCTTTATAGATGATGCCATGGCAGAAGGGGAGAGTGGGGAAGTGGTGCACACTCTCAACATCTACAGATGGTGGTCGCCAAGTTGGTGCAGCTCACAGTTTGCGCTGGAGTCTGTGGACTAGCAGTCGTGAAAAAGACTTCTCTGCTTTGTGATCCCTCACGAGTTTCATCAGCGTGTTAGCACCAAAGGTGAAAATCGGTATCACTCACCACCTCATAGTGGCCGTGTTGTGCCGACAGGTGCAGCGGTATCTGGCCCTCGTCTGATTGGCCGTTGACAGATGAACCTGACTTCAGCAGCATTTTCATGGGCTCCGCCTTCCCCAGCCAGGCGGCATAGTGCAGCGGCCGCATTCCTGCAACAAAAAGAGCCACCCTCAAGCTACGTTCATTTTGATGGTCGCCACTTTCAATGGCAACCCCCCTGAAAACATTTGAAACAAAAAAGGCCTTGAAATAAATCTAAACTTAATCAAAGCTGGAAAGTTTGAGAAAATTCAGGAGATGAAAATATAACAAGAATCAACACATGAACGTGTGGCATAATTGCAGCGTTTCCTCGCACTTCTGAGTTTTGGCCGCCCCTGTTTTTGCCTGTTCTGTGTTTCCGCACTGTTAACTGGATTTCATTAGATGTTGACCCTGGATCTGTCTTCTGAAAACGGCTTGGATTATCCTTCTGGATCCTTCTGTTCCTCTGCATGCTCTGGCTGCTGCTGGTCGCTGCTCCTCTTCTCTCCTGGATCTCTGGTATCGACTCAGTTTCAAGCTGCGGGGTTTCGCTCCTCTGGACTACATTCCTTCTTCTGGGCTCAGACTGAACTTTACCAGGCTGGTAACTTTCAAAATTCTTGTCATTGCCTGTTTAAGTTTCGGAAGTCACTGACCTAAGTCTCCATCCCCACAGTGTATCCAGTGACACTGCCTCAGCTGACAAGCAGCTTTTTCAATAAACGACTTTTAAGTAATCACTGTCTGTCTCGTCTGAATTCTGGGTCCTACGTTCTGAGCACTCTGACATGGAACTTGCTTAAATCTCCTGAGAACCTAACTAGAACCGTGTACTTTGGTGTTAGACAGCTATTCATTTTCAAAACAAACACGACAAAGTAATAATTACTAAAAGCAAATGACCAAATCAAGACAGAACGGCTCCTTTGGCACAAAAATCAACCTTGTTTCATGAGCTACGCAGTCCTCAGAGCTAATTCCTACAGAAATCATTTAGTCTGACCTGAGGAGAAGCACAGAAACAGAAGGACTAACCAGGAAAGACTGTTACAAAGAATGGTTACACATGTTAGAAAATACTAAAATGCAATATTTACTTTAGATTAAATTTACCCCAACTAAAGGGTAGGGTTGGGAATTGAAAAGATTTTCAGGATTCCGATTCCCTTTTCGATTCTATGAAACGATTCGATTCTTTATCGATTCTTTTTTCGATTCAATTTGGGGGAAAAAGGAGAACAAACAGTTTGATTATCAGCATCAACTTTGTTTACTTAACTATTGCACAATCTTACAAACTCAACAAGATCAAGATGTCCACAGGAAATGTGAAACTGGAGTAACATCTGTGTTTAAATGAAAAATAAATATACAAGAACAAACTTAATAACCAACAATGTCTAATAACAAATGATGGGATAATAACCTATTTTAAATAACAAAAAATACTAATTATAAAACAGTAGTAGGGAAAATTAACAGTTATTTTGCAGAAAGATGAGCATATCTGCTTTTTCTGGAAGGATACAGGATCTTTCAGGGCTTATGGTGTCTCCAGCCGTGGAGAACACCCTCTCAGATGGGGTGGAGGAAGCCTGCACACAGAGGTAGTTTTCAGCCAGTCAGATAGCAAGGGCAGCGTATCTTGCTTGTTCCACCACCACAGTGTGGCGCTATCCCTGCAGGGGATGGAGGGCAAGCTTTTATAGAGCTGGATTTCCTGGTCTACCCTCTGGGCTAAGGAAAGACGGGGCTTTGATTCACAAAGTGACCGCAGCTCGTTGTCTTCCTCCTCGAATAGTTCTTCCAACTTGCGTAACTTGCGTAACTTGCGTAACTTACGTAAAAAACGTGACGTAAGTCGTGCTCCCCAGAGCCGGCGCTCTAGGCTCTGGTGCTGCGGGAATCGAAAAAAGAATCGTTCAGTGAGCTGCCAAACGATGCCATGGAATCGGAAAATACGGAACCGGTTCTTAACAGGAACCGGTTTTCGATTCCCAACCCTACTAAAGGGTGAATACTTCTTTAATGAAAGATCAACTTATTTCAAGGTTTTTACACATCTTTTACTATAGAGAGCCAATAAATACAGAGAATAGGGCATGTGTGTATTAGAGTTTAAGCCAGTGTGTTTGTGCATCAGAAAAATCCAAAGGTTCTGTTTCCTGTGCTTTGGTCCTGGCTGGCTCTTACCTTTCTGGTCTCTGATGTCGACAGCGGCCTGCGACTCCAGCAGCAGAGAGACCAGCTCCAGGTTCCCGTTAAGAGATGCATGATGAAGGGCAGAAAACCTGTGGCACACACAGAAACATTACAAGGTTTTACAAACATACCCCTGAACATCCTGGGTCAGTGATAAGGACAAACATAGCATGACAAATGGATTTTAAAGCAGATCAAACATGTCTCTGCTGCAGAGCTGTTAAATGGGACCTAGAGCGAAGAGACGGAAATGGATGAAGATTAGCATGAGGGGATCTGTTATCTGTTCTGCAGAAGATCCAGGAAAAATATGTGTGTGAAGCCAGAGGGTGAGAGTAACATGTCAGCTTTGATGGGCAAGCTTGACGAACAGCATAAGGCAAAAAAGGCAATCACGTAACCCAGGGACACAAATTGGCAACAAGGAACAGGAGAGTCTCAAACAGACGCTCATCAGAAGTGACAGAGGCACAATGAAAAAAAAACAAGCCTAGTGCCGGTTTAAGATCGAGATATTTCCTACCAACCCTTAAAGAAGTATAAATGTCATGATTGGTGGTGGTGAGGAACTGAAGTGGCATGCGATCATTGGGATGCGCATGAAAACGAAGAATAATTGACCCCCCAGACACCAGACGTTATTTAGACATTGGTTTTTAGGCTAAATCTGGTCGATCCTTCATAGTCTTTATTTAGTCCAGAAACTGTGGTTGGTCAGTCTGATTTAAGATCTGGTTATACTCCCGCAGTGTTTATGCCCAATATTGAAGCGTGGTCTGTGCGGAAGTAGGTGGTGAGAAAGTAGGGGCAAGTTTGTGCGACAACGGAGGGACATGAGGGCGAAAAGGGGTACCAGTGCTCTCGCGCACCTCTCTATTCTAGCTGGTCCGCGAGTCGTTTTCCACAATGGTGGTCATACAAACAAAACACACCGGTAAGGTACCAAACAGGACATACGCATAGTGTAGAGTGGATGTAGAATTGACCAATCAGTGGCTTCTGCAGACACGTACAATTTTGGAGAGGTGCAGCAGGGTGTCTGCGGAAGGGGCGGGGCATATTTGCGTTGTGACACACACGCAGAAAACATGGATTCTGAGTATAATCAGCCTTTAGTCCAATACTAGATGTTGTTACCCCACTGTTAGTATTAACTGGTTTCAATTCTAGAGAAAGCAACTAAGCCTTAACCCTATGTACTGTTAGAGGGAATCCAGGATTGTAGTGTAGTAATACGATCCAAAGCAAAGATGGCGGCAGACGCACCAATTCACATCAAATCAATTTGTTTCAGTTTATTTATGTAGATACAATTAACAAGACATGTAACCTCTGTTTACAGACAATCAATAAAATCATAGACATATGGCTTAAAGTTTTCTACCTAAAAAATACCGGCCGATGCTCTTCCCTATGCCTTCAAATTTAAGGAACCATGTTTAGCAGTATTTGTTGCCAGATAATGCACATTCAGGACGGTGCTTTGCAACTTTGCAAGTATCTAACTTACCAAATAATTACAAAAAACCTGCATTAAAAATTGCAATAAAGGACTCAGCTCTTTGGTAACATATAAGTCTTTGCTCAGGTGATAGGGAGTAAATTTTGTTCAATTATTATTGCAAGCAAAGAACATGTTTTCTACATGAAAATTTGGAGAGAGAAAAAAAATCCCCACAGGCCATACTGACTCAAACCAAAATATACTTTGATAAGCTACTGCAATTTTATATAGCACTGTTTATTATGCTAACTGTGTTAGGACTCCTTTCTGTGTGGTTTGTGTTTTGTGTGTTTGTCTTCCTTCCTCCACCAGGCGGCGCCTGGTCCTGATTTACCTCCTCACACACCTGCAAAGGGTTACCTAATTAACAGGTGCTCTTAAGCTACTGACTGCCACTACCTCAATGCCAGAGTGTTTGCCAGTTTTGGGTACTCTAGCAGAGCTGAGTTTTGCTGAGTCAAACTGAGTTTTTGTCAACCTGAGTTTTAATCTTGCTATTTTTGTCTTTACCTCTCGGCAGGAAGTCATCCTGCAAACTGGACGTTTCGGACCTTCTCTCCCTGGAAGGATTAACTGAGTCTCAAACTGAGCTGGGGATTCAAAATGGAGGTCTGGATCCACTTTTCTCCAAGGGATCGTTTGAGTTTCACACTGAGCAAGGGATTCATCTGTACCACAAGTACCGCAGGAAATCTGAGTGGCAGTCAGTGTCTCCGTTCTCCTACAAACAACCGCATTCTGGGTAAACCCTGTCCGCCCTTCACCGAATGAGACAAACACTGGAACACCCCACACCGACTGGAGTCAAAGAGTCAACCACTTTTCTGGAAACGTGAGTCTACAAACCTTTTCTCCTCTTCAAGTTCGAGAATCAATTTTCCCACTGAAGCTGAACTAACCGCAGTGTCTTCCCCTCACCTTTCAGTACCGGTTGAGCAGTGTTCAGAGCAACACTGGAATCTCCACAAGCTTCTCAATAAACCTGTTAAACTTTTTCCCTGGTCTCTCTCTAATGGTCTCTCTGCATTTGGGTCTGATCTTTAGTTGAATCATGACAAACTGGAGGTTTTCTGCTGGTACTTTGACCACTGCACTCAGTAAAAAAGATCAAATTATGCCAATTGTATGTAAGACTTAATATATCAGAGGAAGCAAACTGCAATAAAGGCATACTTTTATAGCACTGTTCCTACTTTCTGAGGTTCATTCAATGCATACTTTCATATTCATACCATTAAGACTGAATGACTGAAAAATAGAGCTTCTGTATTTTGATTTTTTGTTAAATACATCACGTTTTACCTAGTAAAAAGTGTTTACCTCTAAATTACCCCTCTGTTACAGGGATATGTACCTAAAGCTTTTAAGATTGCTGTAATTAAACCTCTGCTTAAGAAACCGTCTCTTGACCCAGATGACTTGGTCAATTATAGACCTATATCCAATCTTCCTTTCTTATCCAAAATTCTTGAGAAAGTAGTTGCCAAACAAGTTTGCGATCACTTCCACCATAATGAACTTTTTGAAGAGTTTCAGTCTGGCTTTAGAGCTCATCATAGCACTGAAACAGCTCTGGTGAAAGTCACTAATGATATTCTCATGGCCTCAGATAATGGACTTGTATCTGTGCTCGTCCTGTTGGATCTTAGTGCTGCATTTGATACAGTTGACCATAATATTCTTTTAGAAAGACTTGAATATTTTGTTGGAATTAAAGGAACAGCACTAGACTGGTTTAAATCTTATCTATCTGATCGAATTCAGTTTGTTCATGTTAATGATAGATCTTCAACACGCTCAAAGGTTACCTGTGGAGTACCACAGGGATCAGTGCTAGGACCAATTCTCTTTACTTTATACATGCTCCCAATTGGTAGAATTATTAGACAGCATGGGATTAATTTCCACTGTTATGCTGATGATACCCAGCTATATCTATCTATAAATCCAGATGAAGCTAACCCATTACATAGATTACAGGCATGTCTTGAAGACATAAAAACCTGGATGACTCTTAATTTTCTGCTTCTGAATGCAGACAAAACAGAAGTTATAGTCTTTGGACCAGAGTCTCTGAAAAAGAAACTGATTAGCCAGTCACTTCATTTGGATGGGATTAAACTGATTTCAGATAATAAAGTAAAAAATCTTGGTGTTATTTTTGATCAGGACCTGTCATTTAAATCCCATATCAAAGAGGTTTCTAGAATTTCCTTCTTTCATCTGAGGAACATTGCAAAAATTAGAAATATCCTGTCCAGGGGTGATGCTGAGAAACTAGTCCATGCATTTGTTACTTCAAGGCTGGACTATTGTAATTCTTTACTATCAGGAAGTCCACAAACTGTAGTTAAAAGCCTTCAGCTGATCCAAAATGCTGCAGCCAGAGTTCTAATGAAAATGAAAAAGAGAGATCATATCTCTCCTATCCTGGCTTCTCTTCATTGGCTTCCTGTTAAATCAAGAATAGAATTTAAAATCCTCCTTCTCACATATAAAGCCTTAAATGGCCAAGCTCCATCTTATATCAGAGATCTGATTGTTCCTTATGTTCCTAACAGAGCACTTCGCTCTCAATCTGCAGGTTTACTAGTGGTTCCTAGAATTTCTAAAAGTAGAATGGGAGGCAGATCTTTTAGTTATCAGGCTCCTCTCCTGTGGAACCAACTACCAGTTTTAGTCCGTGAGGCAGACACCCTGTCTACTTTTAAGGCTAGGCTTAAAACTTTCATTTTTGATAAAGCTTATAGTTAGGGTGGCTCAGGTTATCCTGAGCTATCTCTATAGTTAATGCTGCTATAGGCTTAGACTTTTGGAGGACATAGGGACCCCCATTTCATCATTCTGCTTCATTCTCTCTCTGTTCTCCTATTCTGCAGAATCTGTTAGTTCAATCTCTAACCTTCTGCTCTCTCTGCTTTTCCTCAGAGTAGCTTTGCCTCGTCTGTTCCTGTTTGGCTGTGACGTCATCCTGGAAAAAAACATCAGCTGTGCTGCTTCTATCAACACCCTTGTTAATAGATGTTGGAGATCGGCCTGTTTTCCAGTGTGGTCCTGTTTCTCTGACCGTGACTGAGTGGATGTGCTCTCTTCGTCCTCTGGCATGGGAGCTGCCTTGGAGCTCGTCTGCCTGGCTGTGTGTTTCCTGGACGGGGCCGCCTTTTACAGCTGCTTTTTGTATCTCTGCTTCTGTCTCCTTGAACCCCAGTCGGCCTCGGCAGATGGCCGCTCACACTGAGCCTGGTTCTGCTGGAGGTTTCTTCCTGTTAAAAGGGAGTTTTTCCTCTCCACTGTCGCTACAAGCATGCTTAGTGTGGGGGATTGTATTTGAGTCAATGAGTCAATGTATTCAACTGGTTTTCCTTAGATAGAAAACTTTGTATCAATTTGACTGTATGATCTGGTTGAACTGTAAAGTGCCTTGAGATGACATGTGTTGTGAATTTGGCGCTATATAAATAAACTGAATTGAATTGAATTGAATTAAATGCTTTCACCTCATAGAAATCGCTGTAAATAAAGGGCGATCTAGTTTCTATTTCAATGACATGAAGCTTTAACTTACTATAGCATGAAACTTGTACC